GTGAGTAACTTTGATAACACTAAGAATAAAACACAAAGTCAAAGTAAACAAAAAGTATTTATTTTTCTTTAAAAATGTAACTGGATATCAAACAAACTGGCCTAATTTTATACTGTATTTAACTTTATGATTTAAGTAGGATACTTAATTCTTCAACAATTAAGAGAACTCACATCGGTCTGCAGAGTTCAGTGTTAAATTTTTTTCTAAATCTGTTAAAAATTATATATATATATATATTTTCTTTTATGAATCTGGTCTTTTTTTGTGTTAAAATGTAAAAATATCAATAAATGTTAATAATAGTGGACAGTTTTTGTTTTATAATATCACCCCCACTGGCCGGAAATGCCATCTCCAACAAACTTGTAGTGTTCCATGGGCCACTAGTTGACAGTACACAGTTGTAGCAGGTTTTGTGGCTCCAGACATTGTAATTAGTAAACAAAGTGGCAAAAATGGCTCTTTTTATGGCAAAGGTTGCAGACCCCTGCTCCAACTGCAAGCTGCAAACTTGAAAAATTTAGAAAAAAAAACATTAATATTGTTTGAAAAAACTATTATAGCAAATATGTTTTAACTGTGCATTATGTGAATGATGTACAGTAGTCCCTCGCTACTTGGCAATTTGTTTTTCACGGACTTGCTCTATCGCGGTTTTTCAGAATAAGATTGAACATGACACACAACTGGCTGATTGATGGATGAACCGCACAATCGGCATTAATTTTTATTTAAAATACATTATTTCAAATTATATGCAGCCCAAGTTGCAGGAGAAGCTTCCTCCTGCAGCCTGTCATATCTCTGCGTTGCAGCAGAAAAGTGGGCGTGGCCAAGAGCGCTGGCAGGTGGCAGAGTGCAGCAGGAGGCATCCATCCAGCCATCCATTATTTTTACCCGCTTATTCCATTTTGGGTCACGGGGGTCGCTGGTGCCCATGTCCAGCAATCACTGTGTGAGGGGTGGGGTACACCCTGGACAGGTCTCCAGTCCAACACAGGGACACATAGAGACAAACGAGACAAACAACCATTCACTCTCTCACTCACACCAATTTAGTTACCAATCAGTCTAACATGCATGTTTTTGGTCTGTGGGAGGAAACCGGAGTGCCCGGAGAAAACCCACGCATGCACGGAGAGAACATGCAAACTCCACCCAGAAAGGTCCCTGGACCGGGGTTTGAACCAAGGACCTGCTCGCTGAGAGGCAGCAGCTCTACCAGTTGCGCCACCGTGCTGCCCAGCAGGAGGCAGTGAGCTGAAATCATGACAGGCTGTGCTCTTTTAGAGCGTTTAGAGTTTAGAAACATTGTTTAGAATATTGCAAGAGTGTGGGAAACTTTACTATTATTCAGGATTATAAACTAGTCATGTGTCACATCGGAGATGTTGCATCCACAGAAGAACAACAAACATCCATCTCTGCTAGCTTCTCCTCCAACAGCTGTGACCCACTCTCTAATTACACAAACAAATCAATTACAGCCATTTTTGCAAAAATAAGTACCATTTTTGTCATGTGTCACTGATTGGTATCTCCTATGACTATAATTAATCAGAGTTAAAAGTGACAAAGCTTTCAATAAATCCTTATTCAACATACTGTAATTACTCAATTAGATTGTAGTGTGTTGTGTGTGAGCAGGTCTTCCTAAGTTCTCAAGGTCAGAGGAGAATAATGGTCCATTGATTGGTGGCTGACGTGAACGTGTTATGCATATTGTAGCTGATTACCTGTTTGCTGGAATCTTTTCCAACCCATAGTTATCTCTATTTTAGTCACACAGATCACTGTGGCATTTCTGTACTCTAATAGCTAATTATTTGCTCCAGTGCGCGTGACTCCATCAAAATATGTGAAAGTTTAAACTGTACAGTATCAAATAAGAAAAATAATCTGAGTTTGTGTATTTTGCTCAGCCTTAAATTCATACTTGTACACGTGTGTCATTATGTGACAGTATTTATTCACGTAATCGGGTAAATTCACCAAATAAAGAAGCGGTTCACTTCTCTGGAAGTTATTGTCTTTGAGATGATTTGAGGATATTCTTTGTGTTTTCCCACTTATTTCTGGGTTTGGATTTTATTGCAATATAAAGTTATATATTTAAATAAAGACAGCAAGGTATGCATACTTGAGAAGAGAAGAGACACCCAATATCTATTTTGCTGCATTTGTTCATTATTTCAACCTTTATTTATACAGATTAATCCCAATGAGCCTCCGGGGCTCATTTACAAGAAAGAACTGATTCAAACAAAGAGTGATGACAACAGTGGACAATCATAAAAAAACCAGCATACAAACTGAGAAGAAGAAGTGAAAGAAAAGAAAGAAAATTGTGTAAAAAAAAAAACTAACAAAAACAGCTAGGTTTTAAGACGATGTAGAAAACTAAAAACAAGAACATGTCTGCATTGGTCTTTGCCAGGAACTTAGCAGATGTTTGAAGCCACTTAGAGAGATCAAGGTCAAGAGCTTCAGATCTTTTTGCAAGATATTTCAGGAAACAGGAACGGAGTAGGAGAAGGCCCTTTTGCCTAGTTCAGTCCTCACTGAGGGAACACTGCAGGTAATAATGTCCTGAGAGCGCACGCTGTAGCTGCACTCACGTAGTGACATGTAGGAGAAGATGTAAGAAGGCGGCAGACCAAGAAGTGATTTAAAGATGAAAATGTACCAGTGGGAGAGTCTGTGTGAAGTTAATGATGTCCAGTTAACCAGTGAATACAGGGTGCAGTGGTGGGTACAGTAGTTACAGACAGTTGTGAATCTTAATGCACCATGATAGACGAGTCCCACATCTGCAGGGCGCTTGTAGGAGCGTTCATGTAAATAATATCACCGTAGTTTTTTTAATTAGGTTTTTTTTTTTTCAAAAGGAGCAAATTCACCCTGATTAGGAACATTGGTGTAGTTGGCATGAGAAAGCCTAATAAAAATGTGTTGTTTTAGCATTTAATATATTTACCAAAGTGTGACTTGTTTCCATGGGCGGAACGGTGACTCAGTTTGTAGAGCTGTTGCCTCTCAGTGAGAAGGTTGCTGGATCAAATCCCAGCCGAGGACCTTTCTGGGTGGAGTTTGTATGTTCTCTCTGTGCATTCGTGTTTTTTCTCCGGATACTCCGGTTTCCTCACACAGACCAAAAACATGCATGTTAGACTGATTGGTAACTAAATTGGTGTGAGTGAGAGAGTGAATGGTTGTTTGTCTCGTTTGTCTCTATGTGTCCCTGTGTTGGACTGGAGACCTGTCCAGGGTGTACCCCACCTCTCGCACAGTGATGGCAGGGCATGGGCACCAGTGGCCCAAAAAGGAAGAAGTGGGTAAAGATAATAGATGGATGGATGGCGTTTTGTTTCCATAATGGAGTGGATTACCTTCTAAGATTTTAACCAATTTTTTAAATTCATTCTTCCTTTTATGAGCCTTCATTTCTTACAGATTTTCTCCCAGAATCTTTCTTCTTCATAAATTCTCCCACAGAAAGGCTTGAATTTGAACATTTAAGTCTGTTTAATAAATTAAAGCGTTCTTTTACTTGCACCATGAAAGGCAGGGAGTGTGTGATCCCCCCTCTTGATATTGGCCAAAAATGGAAGTGCATTAGCTCCAATCAGAAGCATTAGAGGAAATTTGTTGTGACATGATTTGATCAAAAAGGGCCAACACGTTCTCAAAATAGGTTCGCCTCACTCATCTGATAACATCTGTACGAGCAGGGATGGAAGGAGTAAAACACATCCTAAGCCTCGGCTCATATTCTTCTGTCTGATCTTGTCAGATAAAAGTTTTATTAACATTCTTTGCAGAAGGACTGCAGCAGGTTTTTGTGTAGATAATACAATTATCCATACAGGGGGAACATGTTTGTTTATGATAATGTCATTGTTTTGTACAGGCAGCATTTCATCATTAAATGCTTTTGGTCAGTTGTAATGGACACTGTGCGTACACCTCAAACACTTCTCATTACACCACTCATATTTGTGTAGTTTTTATTTTTATTTTTTATTTTTAGAAGATATTGCCTCAGTCCTGCAATTTTCTTTGCAACCAGCTCTAATAGTGACATTTCCCCACTTTTCTCATCATTCAACGGTTATTTTTGTCATTTTGTATCACCCTAATGTTTGCAGCACTTTGGTGAAAACTCCCAAGCAAACATTGAATTTCTCACAAAATCCATCAGACTTAAATCACTGTGCAAAACTCCTCAGTCATCCCTCATTTCTTTATATTTTTTATTCCTTTGCACAATCGTTAGGAATGGTCCTCAAACTGTTTCTCCTCAGGCTTTTCAAAATACATTTTTTTGGACTTTGGTTACTTTTAAACTAAATTTGTGTTCAGTAGCTGAGCATTTTCAGAACATTTGTTGCCTTGCAAAGTCACTTAACTCTGTTCTATGAGTCATTCTGGCAATTGAAAGGACTAGGATTGAACTAGTGACACGTTGACACGTTTATTTTATCTTTAGGCACTTTGCTATCAGCAGCCTGTTGCAAATACACTATTTGTTTCCCTTCATGTAGCTGAATCTGGGAAAAATACTAACGATAACACAGTTTGTTACATAATCTTAGATACGTATAGGAATGTATTTTAGATCCATCAACTGAAGGATCTTTCATCTTACATGTCTTGCATCAGACCCTTGCTGATTTTCTTTCTTCCTAAATACTTTGTATATGAATTGCTCTTTGAGATATGTTTAGGCTTGATGAGCCAAAGAGAAAATACAGCAAAAGTAAAAACAAACAAAAAAAAATCTTTCAGTTCTCCAGAAATTCTAGATCGTAGCTGATCAAGATCGCTTGATCACAGAAAAGTCTGTCTCCTTGGAGGCAAAGTATAAATGAATGAGGGATGGTTTAAAACTTCTGCACAGTACTGCACTTCCATTGGACATTTTGCTCAAAACCTTCCCATCCCATCAAGCAGCCCCTTGTGGGATTCAGTAACTCTGTTTTCTTCTCTACCCACAGCTCTTACCGTCTGGATAAAATCAACAGTGACATGCATAACTACATCACCAATTTTGCTGCAGACTTAAGGTGAATACAAACGTAGCGTCTCCCGTCACCTTTCTGATGCTGCCTTGTTGCAGTGATCAAATCTTGTTGCCAGCTGGCTCGCTGCCATGCTGCCATATTTAATATGAGCATACAATCAAGACCTGTCAAAGAAAGGTCACCTAGGGCGATCTGCAAATAAGCATGAGGCTATGTGCAACAAATTATACGCTGTTTAACAAACAATTCATTTGTATTAATTAAATTATACATTGCTTAGCAAACAATTCATTTGTATTAATTCACTATAATTGTATATATTTGTAGTAAATAGTGCATAAACTGAAGTATTGGGCTATAAATGAATGCCTTATCGAGATTTTGAAATTGCATTTTTATTGCATCTTGATTTGTTTAGAAAGCCTTGTGAAGATAGATCTTTTGTTTTTTACAAATATGCAGGCCCTTGCTACAGCAGCACAGGAAGGACTGGGGGACTTGTAATCATACTGGCTTTTTCTTGCTGGCAAACATTTGTGTTTATGTGTGCAATAAGCCCAGAAACTGCTTACTCATCCCTGTCTGCTTTTAGAAATAGATCAAACCTCACTTTGGCGCTTCTGTAGTGACTCACGTAGTATTCTTCAGTTTACATAAAGTTCCCTCCCACCTCTTTTTCTCTCCAGCGGATTTCCAACCAGTCATGGCTTTTTGAGCGTCTCTCGCCCAGCACATTTAATTGGCCCGGCTGGCTCTGGGGCACTCTTTCAGAAGGTCTTGCTCACTAACTAACTCCTGATTTGCTTTTCCCTCATTTTCCAAGCACTGACTGGATGTTTCAGCTCATCAAAAATCAAACTGCTATTCTAAAGAGACCATTGAACATGTGTGGGAGAGTGGGAAAAAAAGGGCTTCCACCTTTTTTAGGGGCAAAATGTCATAAACCGTTGTCACAAAGTTGCTCAGAAGGAAACCTGATTTAAAAGCATCTAATCATTTTTTAATATGTATCATTGCAGCTGTAAGCATCAGTTAAACTGCTTGCAGTTTGATATTTGCCTGATTTGTTTCTCATTCTCCCTATTCAGTCAGAGCTACCACTTGCAGGCCACCAGGGAAATACATCCTAGCCTTGCTCTGAATCCCTCAACCAACTACAACTCCCCCAAGTTTCGCTCCAGGAACCAGAGCTACATGCGGGCCGTCAGCACGCTCAGCCAGGCTAGCTGTGTAAGCCAAGTGAGCCAGGTGAGAGAACAGCACAAATATTTTTATTATCGCTGCAATTTTTTGAATAGTCTAAACAAAAATGTACTTTTTTCTGACAAATTTTGTTACACATTCCATATAAAGGAGTTTGTTTTTGATGTTTATCTAGATTAGTTAATTGACTCCAACAGGGGTTGTTGAGATATTCATCTCCCACCTAAAAGGGAAATGTATTGATTTGTTAGGAGTCCTAAAAGCTCAGCTAAACCTCACTAATTCCTAATCCCTGTACAACAAGATGCTTATCTTGAGTCTTTATGCCATCTGGGAACATCAAACAGTTTTTACTTTATCCACTATTTGCATTAAATCACTATCAGAGCTATTACTAAAAATGCCACATCTGCAGCACATCATGACTTAAACGTCTGAAAATTTAAATGCCGTTGGCTGATGTTTGCAGAAAGCAAGATTGACTGCAATGCAAGAAAAAAAATATATATTTCCACAGGTTTAGTCTATGTATCACAATTTGTATCATCCTCAAAATATGTATTTTTCATTTTTCTTTTACTTATGTAGTATTTTTATTATTATTTTGTAGACAGACAATGTCTCACAAGATGTTCTAATCAATCCATTAGTTGCTCCACAGAAACAGAGAAACCATCTCACTTGAGAAAGCATGCTCATTGCTCGTCTTTTGTAGGTGAGTGAAACAGAAGTGAACGGCCAGTTTGAGTCTGTGTGCGAGTCGGTCTTCAGTGAGGTGGAATCACAGGCCATGGATGCTTTGGACCTCCCTGGTTGTTTCAGAACCCGGAGCCACAGCTATTTGCGAGCCATCCAAGCTGGCTACTCCCAAGATGATGACTGCATCCCTCCCATGGCATCTACTGTCACCTCCACTATCAGGTCAACTACAGGTGAGGGTAATCAAAGCTTAACTTGCTTTAAATAAACCAACAATGGTGTCTAGGAAGTTCGTATTTTGCTTGCCTAAAATAATTAAAATAACACGAAACCCATCAGATGTTGATGTGTTTGATAATTGTAGAGCAGTTAGTGCAAACCAGTGCCTATTTTTGCTGCATGAGTTACTTTTTGATGTTTCCATTTTTCGTAGACGTATGATTACAGTAGTTATCACTTGTGAGCTGTGCCAGATCATCCCACTGTATTTTGGATGTGGTGCTTGATTTTCTTACCCCTGGGATGCATCAGAAAGTAAAGCTATGAACCCTATTGAAAATTCCAAATGGTTATCCGAAATGAAAATCAAGTCAGAAAAGGGACACGTGTTCTCCTTCCACTATTTTTTTGTAAATCTAACTTTCTAAATGGAGCTACATAAAGATGTTCATTGATGCCACGTGGCAGATTTCAACCTGGGCAAGAAAATGGTGCAGTTAACCTTCTGAAGAGCAATTCTAGCTTGTATGTCAGGTTTGAACTGTGCTACTAGCACAGAAATGTTAGAGCTGTGAAATCTCTTTGCATAAAAACTGTTTGCTTTACACAGGTGATTTTTCATAGCCCACTCCAGAACTGAAATTGATTCAGTCTAGGCCTCAATATTAAGTAATGCCAAGCTGACAATGACTACAATGGTAACAGGAGTGTGACACTAATTAATCATCTATAACACAGTAATTCTAAACCTACTCAATTGTCATATGCATTTACTTCAGATACTGGGCCTTAATTATAAATTATGAACTCCTGGTGGTTTCAATACTCCCATGGTTGATGGATTTACAAATGAACCAATACATATTTGTAAAGATGAAGAGTATGGGAATAAAAGAAGAAAATGTCCCCGGACAAGAAGTCTGAATGGATGCTACCTCCTCCTTCTATAGTTTAAAGATCTAACACCGTCTGGGTTATTGTAGGGAGAGTTAGTGGTCTGAACATCTGGAGATGTGCTTCTTGTTGAATCTTTATAGCTAGTATATGTTTGCTTACACTGCTTTCTCAATATTCTTTAAAAAAAAATTGGACTTTGTTTCAATAGGGTTCATACTATACTTTCCTGATTAATAATAATATGTTTGCAAGCTTTGTTCATCTTTGCCTCTTTTCACTGCACAAAGATTACTTTTTTTCTTGATCAATAATAAAAGTCCACTTTGCAGCCCAATTTATTATAAATATTGTTCTTTTTTTCTGTGATGTTATTTGACACTTCAAAGTTTTTGCTTTGTGCTTTGAAAAGGTGTAAAGAATGCATGCCCACAAATTAAGACTGAGAAGGCAGTGTAAGCGATTACATGAAATGAGTCATAATAGGAGTGCATATTTGATGTGCATTAGGTGTCCAATACTCTCGTAAATTTCAGCTTTAAAAAACGTCTGATGAACAAATTTGAGCTATTACTAGACTTGGGCACTTGGATGCTGTTTACTCCAGCCGTTATCCTGTTTTGACTCATGACATTCAGTGCATGACACAATGTTAGTGTGTTTTGTTGCAACAAAAAAGCACATTGTCTCCAGCTGCTCACACCTGTGGCAATATTACAGATGTATATTTACATTTTTCTTCCAGACAGAAAATATGTGCAAGATGAAACTTGTTTACCCGACCAGGACAGTATTCGTGAAGATTTTCCAGACTCAGCCCCACTGACACATGATAACCTGGGCTGCCCGATCAGAAGAGATAGACTTTACCACCATGAACCTGAGGGGGCAACAGCAAAACCTGTGTCTGGACCACCTGTTTCTCCAAGCCTCTTCAGATCTGCCAGATCTAGCGCTCCAGAACGACCGTCACCAAAAGACATCCAGGCCAGCATCAAAGAGTCAGCTACACTGGCTGCTGCCATTAGCATGCAATGGAAGGAAGAAGTTTCTGCCATGCGTCGAGAGTTAGCTGAACTCAGGAGGGACCTCTGTAAAGAACTTCGTGCTTTCAACACTAATTTCAACACTTTCACGCAGCATTACAACACATGGTCTCCCCAAGGTGGCAACATGGTGACAGGATCTGGTGCAAGCTTAGGCAAAGTGGCTGGGACTGTTTCAGAGAGAGGAACAAATGTTGGAGCAAGCCAAGAGACAGTAGGAGTTGAAACCACTGTGGCAGATAAAGGCACTGGGAGAGCAGGAGAAAAACAAGCCCAAGTATCAAAAATATCTGTTGGGATTCAGGCAAGAAGCAAAGTCCTGGTCAGGCAAAGCACAGCAGATGCAGCTGTTAATTGCCCTGAAGAAAAGGAAGAAAAGAAAAACGCTCGTCGAAGTTTGCCGAAACAGCTCTCAATGGACCCAAGCATCCTTGCATGTCCACAGTCAATGTATGTAGAGAGTGCCATTCCACTATCTTTGGACCCGATACTTCCTAGTTCTACAAAAATAGTCCAACGAGAGCCATTTGACTCAACTGTTGTACCTATCACGACTAAACCAAACCCAGATCCAGTAATGCCAGTCAAAACCATTGCAACTTCATCTGATCCCGTCACAAACGAGCAACAAATAGCTCAAGATAAAGTCCCACTATTATTAAAAAACGCTCACAAAAGTAGTCAAGATTCATCAAATGAGAAACAAGAAATAATTACCACCCCACAAGAAAAAAGCGTAGTCCCAACTAATGAGTTCCAATCACACACTGAGCAATCGCATCCTCATAGCATGAAATCCCAAGACTCAGAACAAACTGAACGAGATAAGATCAAACTACCATATCCAGTCCCTACAGTTACTGTGTCCCCACCAGAGGAGCATGAGTATGACATACACTCAGATCCCGAATTTTCAGATCTTGTCACACATGATAAGTCACAACCTTTCTCTCAAAACCCTCCATCTGTGGTTTTACATTGTTCAGCATTAGAAGGTTCAGATCCCTCAGATTCAACAGAGATGGAACCAAAAACAGCAAACAAACCCAGTGTATCTTCATCAAACTCTTTTGATAAAGAATACCCATCATCAATTTGGAATGTACCTTCACTTCCAACTGATTCTGTTACACAAAGCAATTTACAGACTGACATCATATGCCCATCCATTGTAGTCTCAGAGTACTTTGATACAGACTCGCCTGCAAGTGATAACGAGACCAATTTAGATACAAATGTTTCTGTTCCTGATTATCCTTCTGAGTCTCCTCCAGAACAAATAAGATCTGTCACAACCTTTGCTTCCAGTTCAGTGGAATCTCTACCAATCACTGAACAAGAGTTCCAAGATTCAGAGTGGCCACCACTACCAGATCCCTTGGAAGCTACCCGCATATTTCATGCTGATCTGGTCCACTTTGACTTAGTTATGCTGACTTCCCTGGATCAAGATGACCTTGACTCAGTTTTTATGGACCCTGAACCAGAGCCTTTTAACCTGAGTACAGACTCTTCATTCAATGCTGATGATTTAGAACCACCTGCTTACCATTTTGAGTCTCAGAGTCCCCCTGTACCAGCTGATGACCCTGACACAAAGTGCTTCATGGATCCATCAGCTGAGCTAGACTGTTTGGGTCCATCTGTGGAGGATCCATTAGTTCACATGACTTGTGGTGTAGCCTCAGAATCACAGGAAGCTCTATTTCCACAGGTCATTGTCACAATATCCCCACCTAGTTCAGTATCTCCAGACACATCACTGGAAATTGACATTGGGCCTACAAGCCCAGCACCAGAATTAGCTCTGTCTGATACAGAACCATCATCACCAGATCTCCAAGAACTTATGCAGTCAGATAATGTTATGGTAGAGACATTGGAGTGCGTAGCTGTATCCCTGGAGGCTTTTGGTGCTGTAGAAGAGGAGACCTTGAGCAGTTCAGGGAGATCCTCAGTCGAGCAGACCTTTCTGTGGCACAGGTGGCAGAGGAGAGTGAAAAGGCATGACTCGATGCGAAGGAGTGCCAGTGTGGAACTGTGGAGTGGGCGATACGAATACAACAGTTCAGAATTCACATATGTGTCTCTTACGCTGTGAGCCCATACCTCACTTTCAGCAAAGAAAATGTAGCGTAAAACGTATTTATAGCTCATGGTTTGTAGATGCCAGTGCTTCAAAGAATGACGCGTAGCCATAAAAATTGTCATCTCTGGCATCCAAGTGACACTTCTTGGTACTTATAATCTATGAATAAAGACTGCACTGGGATCAGCTTCTGTGGTGACAAAAATACTGAACACTTCAAAATATTTTTTTCTGAATCTGGATGAATTTTAATGAAGCAGTTGCTTCTGCTGTGAATCATCTTCCAGTACTTGTTCCTTAAGCATACTGCTTGAAACCCTTGATCAAACAAGCGATGAATGTTTTTGTACTATCATAACGTGGTTTAAACATCTGTTTGTAAAGAGACTTGGTAAAGACTGCAGACACAACTGACAATCCTTGCAGCATTTTTTACTCCTCAACATTTTTTTTTTTTACCTTTGAAGTGAAGTGAAATAAATCTGTAGTTATCATATAACCATAAAGACACTGTTTACCATTTTTGTTGTAGGATGGACTTTATAGACATAAGGAAAATGGATGAGATGCTGTGAAATGCTGTTTGCACAATCTAAGATAAAACCTGAATACTGTACTGTTACAGTTGTCACAAATTAATGGTTGGGCTAATTATGACATTTTGTTGAAAGCTTAAAAATGGGTGAAAGCAAACACCCAGCAGCAAGCAAACTTGAAGAAAATTAAGAAAAACAAACTGTGACCTGTGTAAAAGATGAGGCACTAAATTATTTCCAAAATTCTGGAAAAACTTCATCTTTTTGCATTTAGGAATTAAGACTTGAATACTGAATTTAAAACTGTTTTCAGCCAGAATATGGCTCTTTTGAACAGAGTATGTAATTATCTTCAAATAACTGTAATTTATTATTAAAAAGAACCTGTTACACCTTCAATTATATTTGAAACAAGTATGTTACAGTTAACGGTATGTAGCCTGTTTGAA